GGTTCAATCCCCAGCACCACATGCCAGCCAGCCCCGCCCCCTGGTGGGCTGAGCTGGCCACACACACAATAAATAAATAAATGTAATAAATAAAAAATAAAAAAAAATAAATAAAAAGGGCTGGGGATATAGCTTAGAGGCACAGCACCCACCTAGCAAGCATGAGGTCCCGAGTTCGATTCCCAGTACCAAAAAACGAAAGAAAGAAATTAAATAAAAATAAAAATAAATGCTAGTGAGGCTGTAGGGAAAAGGGAACACTGTTGGTGGGAATATCAACTTGTACAACTACTATGTAAATCAGTACAGAGATTCCTCAAAAATAAAATAAAACTACAAATTTCATTTGATTCAGCTACTCCCCTTTAGGTATCTCCCAAACAGGAATAAAGACATACCACATGCCTACCCACATTTATAGCAGCACAATTCATAAATCTTGGAAGTGGCCTCTGTGTCCATTAGCAGATAAATGGATAAAGAAAATGTGGGGTTTAGACACAGTGGGGTGCTACTCTGCCATAAAGAAGGGTAAACTTGAGTCATTTGGGTACAAATTCCCCATGATGAAAGTGATCAATATGTATATTTAAATTGTACCAATAGATTTAATAATAAAAAATAAAATAAATTTGGGGTGGTTTTTTGGTTTTTTTTGGTGGAACCAGAGATTGAACTCAGGCCCTTGCACTTGCCAGGGAAGAGCTTATTCCACTGAGCCATCTCCCCGGCCCCATAAAATAAATTTGGAATCAGAGTGTGTGTGTGTGTGTGTGTGTGTGTGTGTGTGTGTGTCTTTGAGACATTTGTAGGAAACTGGATCCACCCCAACACCTTAAGTGAAATAATTACACACAAGCTCAAATAGTCCATAGTTCCTCTTATAGGAGAGACCCAAAATATAAATGAAGAGCAGAATTAAAAATAGATAATAGGGGGCCAGGGAGATGGCTCAGTGGAATAAGTGCTTGGCTGGCAAGTCCAAGGGCCTGAGTTCAATCCCCGGTTCCACAAAAAAAATAGATAATAGGAAATAGGAAGATAGTTTTTTTTGCAACTGGGAAGGGGACAAAGTGATGGAAGAAAGGGGAGGGAAAGGATGAGAGTATGAAAAAAGAATTGGAATGTGTTATATTACATACATGTATCAACATTGCACAAGAAATAAAATTATTATACACTATAAACATGTGCTAATAAAAAGCAAAAATCGAAAGTAAACTATATTTTTTATTTTTTAATGTATTTAATACAGAGTCTACAGGGTCTTACTATGTACATCCAACTGGTAGTGCTTCACCTGTTTTCAGGCAAGAGCCGGTATTACAGGGATGTGCACCCCCACACCAGAGGCTCAGTCGCTGTCTCAGCACGTCCTGGGGTGGGGCCGGCACAGCACACCGGACAGTGAACCCTGGCCACTGCACTCTGCCTAAACAGGAGCACTCATCAGATAAGCTATCTGGCCCGCCCTTTCGAAAGAAATCAAAAAATAACAAAGGCTGGAATGGCTGCTTAGGATAAAGGAACCCTTCTACTTTGTGGGTGGCAATGTTAACTAATAGAATTGTTATGTAAATCAGTATGGAACTTCCTCAAAAAAATAAAGTCTTAGCCCCCTGTGGTGGCACATGCCAGCAATCAGAAGGCTGAGGCAGGAGGATCACTGTGAGTTTGCGGCCAGCTTGTGCTACATGGTGAATTCAAGGCCAGCCTTCACTACCCAGAAGGATCCTGTCTCAAAAACTAAAACTAAAACCGGAAATTCCATTTGACCCAGCTATTCCCCTTCTAGGTACTTACCTAAAAGAATTAAAGACATGGGGGCTGGGGAGATGGCTCAGTAGAATAAGCGCTTCCCTGGTAAGCGCAAGGGCCTGAGTTCAGCCTCTCCCCTGCCCTGGCTTCCGCAAAAAAAAAAAAAAAAAAAAAAAAAGAATTAAAGACATGCTATTACAATGTACATGTATACTTACATTTATAGCAGCACAACTAACTCATAATCGCTAAATCTTAAAAGCAACCTACATATCCGCCAAGAGATGAATGATTAAAAACTGTGGTATTTATACACAGTGGAATTATGTATACACAATGGAGTACTCTGCCATAAAGAAAGATAAACATGAGCAACTGCAGGAAAATCGAGGCCCCTTGACACCACAATATTAAGTGAAATAAACCAGACACACAAACTTAAATATCATATAACTTCACCTATATGAGAAACCCAAAAGATAGGTAATTTTCTGAAAATAAAAGGTAGGGGATAGGAAGCAGGGAGGTAAATCTTTTGCAAATGGAAAGGAACTCTAGTGATGGAAGCGTAGATAAAAAGAATCTATGGACCAGGGAGATAGCTCAGTGGCATAAGCACCAGCCTGGCAAGCGCAGGGTCCTGAGTTTGATGCCAGGTACCAAACAACAACAAAAATCCAGAGGCCAGGAGGTGTGGAAAAAGAGAAGGGATAAGGAACCAAACAAACATTTATCAAGTACGTGTAAAGGCTTGCCACCAGCCTGTGGCACTACTGGGAAGTGCTGGAACTGAACCTTTAGGAGATGAGGCGTAGAGGGAGGAAGTGAGGCCACTGGAATCATGGTCTTCATGGGAAAATTGGGACCCTGGCCCCTGCGAGTCTCTCTGCTCCTCACTACCGTGGTCTTCTGCCATTGATGTACTGTGCTGCCACGAGCCTAAAGCTACCTAACCAAGCAACTGGGGACCAAATACACCTTTCCACCTTTTAAATTGATTGCCTCAGGAATCTGCTATAGCAAAGACAGCGGACTAATACATTGGACAACTGCATACGCTTAAGGAAGAAGTATAAGGAATAGTTCTGCTTTCAAGTCTAAGAGTCTCCTTCCCAGAGGGATTTCTAATTTTAGAACTATTATGAAGGAAAAAAAAAGATAACTACAATTCAAATTGGCATCGGAAAAGTAAGCAGGAATTACAAACAACAGGTGCGACCAGGTTTCGATCCCTGGCACCCACCCCCGGGCACCCTGAACCACTGGCCTAGATTGCGCATGGTGGCACACGCCTGTAATCCCAGTGCTGAGGAGGCTGAAAAACAGGAGGATCACTAGGAGAGCTGCATAATGAGGCCTTGTACAAAATACACTGAAAAAAAAAAAAAAATGATCTGATCTGTTTGGTGCAAGCAGAGGTTTGAGCAAAGTGAAAGGTGAAAGCGACACAAAAACGCCCTGACTGTGGGGCTGAGGATATAGCTCTGTGGTAGAACTCTTGTCTAGCAAGCTGGAAGTCCTGGGTTCAGTCCTCAGCACCAAAACCAAAAAATAAATTTCAACTAAACAACAATTACAAGCCAGGCATGGTGCAATCCCAGCACTCGGAAGGCTGAGGCAGAATGATTGCTGTGAGCTTGGACCAGGCTGGACTACAGAAATGAGCTCAAGGCCAGCCTGCACTTCATAGTGAGACCCTGTCTCAAACAGACAAAATAAATAAATAAACCCACAAGTACAAAAAAGACCAAAGGAAAATATTTTCTGATTAGGCCCCAGGATTTTAAGAGTAGAGACTGGATCAAAGAGAGAAGGGAAAGAAATGACAGAAGAAAATTATAATAATCCTGGTTTCCAGCTCGAAAAGGTGGCAGTAGTAGCCATGAAATCAAAGGATACTGAGTACTATGGGCTGGGGAGATGGCTCAGTAGAATAAGCACTTCCCCAGCAAGTGCAAGGGCCTGAGTTCAATCCCTAGTTCTGCCAAAAGAAAAAAAGGATGAGTACTTTCTACTCCCAGGCCCAGAACTGAGGTACAAAAGAGTCAGGTGGGGGCCCAAGGCTCCATCTAAGAGTGAGATGGGGACCTGGCGCCCTTCTAACACAGCCTGCATTAGGGCTTACACACCACCCTTGCCCAACCCTTGGAAACACAGTTTAGTGGATTTATATTCAGTTGAATGGCTGTGCCTAGAGGGAACTAATTTCTTTTGAAGGAAGTAAAACTTTATTTAGCTCACAGTGACTGGAGGTTTCAGTCTCCACTCCAAGGCAGAGCAGCACATGGCAGAGAGCAACCTTTCATGGGGGCAGCAAAGAACAGAGAGCAAAAGGAGTGGCAGCAGCCCTGGCAGCTAGCTAGCCTCTCTCCCCTCCTTACATTGAAATGCAAATTACCAGCCATAGGGCGGGTGCAGCATCCACACCCACAATAATCAATCCTAGACTCCAGAAGGCACCCCATGACTGCATGAGGCTTTGGGGGTACTCCTAGACACAAACCACAACAGGTTGTTTGTATTTTTGGATTTTGGTTTTGTGAGACAGGGTCTCATTATGTAGCCCAGGCAGGCTCTGAACTCATCGCAATCGTCCCACCTCAGCCTTGTGAGTGCTGGGACTACAGGCGTGTGCCACGGTACCGAGCTGTCATTTCACTTCTCCCAGAGGGAACTAATTGATACATCACTGCTAAACTAAAGGGAGGTTTTCAACAGAAAGCCAAGGGTGCTATCCTGGGGGGCATTCGAGTCAATATTTCTATCAGTGTCTGGGGTAAGAAAACAGATGGTATGCTAAGCACATTCCTGGCTAGCATAAACCGGGAGAGGAGATCAAAGCCAAGATCCAAGCAGATTCCAACAGGCTAAAATGCTGAAATGAGGAGCCAAATCTCATAGGTTCGATTTAACAAGGAAAAATATGGGGCCCTGAGCCCATGCTCAAAAACTACTGTGCATTATTACCATATATGGCTTAGTTAAATGGAATTTTAATATAAGTGAGCACGGCCATCCACACGTAGGCTGAACTAACAGACAAGGGAGCTAAGTCTGAGTTCTATACTTAGCAGGATATACCCGGAATGTGCTGTCCATTTGTGCATCACACATTTAAAGGTCATGCACAATGCTGAAAGGCTTCCAGAGAGCAGCAACCATGTTACAGAACCTATTACATGAGAAATGGTAGGAAAAAACTGAACACTCTTAGCCAGTAACGCAAAAGCAAATGTGGGAGGGAACAGGGCTATCGGGGCATAAAGGCTATGAAGGGTGAGAAGAGAGAGGCCTGTGATAGCTGAAGCAGGAGGGCTGTAAGTGCAAGCCCAGTCTAGGCAATTTAGCATCTAAAAAAATAAATAAATAAAATGAAAATAAGACAGACACGTGTGCATGCCTGTAATCCCAACACTCAGGGGCCAGGGAGATGGCTCAATAGAATAAGAGCTTGCCTGGCAAGCACAAGGGCCTGAGTTCAATCCCTGGTTCTGCAAGAAAAACAAACAAACAAACAAACAAACAAACACTCAGGAGGCAGAGCCAGGAGGATCACCATGAGTTTGAGGCCTGCATGGGCTACATAGTGAGTTCAAGGCCAATCTGAACTACATAGTGAGACTCTGGGCTAGAGATGTTGGTCAGTGTGAAGACCTTGGGTTCAATATCCAGTGCCACAAAAAGAAAAGGAAGGGGGGCTGGGGAGCTGGCTCAGTAGAGTAAGCGCTTCCCCAGCAAGCACAGGGGTCTGAGTTCAATCCCTGGTTCTGCCAAAAAAAAAGAAGAAAGAAAAAGAAAAGGACAAACAGGGAGGAGGAGGAGAGGAGGGGAGAAAGAGGAAAAAAGGAAGAAGAGCCAATCTCCCCAAAACAAGACTAAAAGAATTAGAATCAGGGGGAGGAGGTTCATAAGAGTAGGACTAATTTTGAATAATCTTTTTCTACATAATTAGAACTGTATGAAAATAAGTGGAATATGCTGCCCAGTGAGGCAGTAAGTTCCTTATCACTGCAGGGAATCAAGCAGAAGCTGAGAAATAAGGAAGAAAATTAATATACTAGGTAGACAGTAGAGAAGAGATGACTTTATATGGTGTCTTTTAACTCGGTAAGACTATAAAAGCAAGCAATACAGTAGCTTCTCTGTATGGAAAAAAAAAAAAAAAATGCTTGAGGGGCCAGGGATTAAACTCAGAGTCATAGCGCATGCCTGGCAAATATGAGTTCGATTTTCAGTACCAAAAAAAAAAAAAAAAAAAATTCTTGAAGGTGGGTATGGTAATGCACACCTGTAATCTCAGCACTTTGGAGGCTGAGGCAGGATGATGATTGTAAGTTTGAGGCCAGTCTGAACTACATGGCAAGACCCTATCTCAAAAACAAAACAAAGCAAAAACCCTCACTTATAAAAGGCACTTAAATTATAGTACCCTAAGAGGACAAAACTGGAAGATGTTTACCATCTGATTTCTAGGCCTCGAAAGCTACACTAACTAAATCAGAGTGGTACTGACTTGATATTTGAGAGTCCAGAAATCGATGCAGACATATGGACAATTGATTTTTGAGAAAAGTACAAAGATACTTCAGTGGAAAAAGGAAAATCTGGGCTGGTGAGATGACTCAGTGGTCTAAAGCACCTACTTAGAACAAGCTTAGCATTGCACAAGAGACTGCGGTTCAATCCCCAGCACCACATGCCAGCCAGCCCGCCCCCTGGTGGGTGAGCTGGCCACACACACACAGACACAAAAATAAATAAATAATAATTAAAAAAAAAAAAAGAAAAAGAAAAAGGAAAATCTTTTCAACAAATGGTGCCAAAACAATTTAATATCTCTTTAGATGGGGAAAAAGGTAACTGGGCATGGTGGTGCTTTCCTATAATCGCAGCACTCAGCAGCCTGAGGCAGAAGGATCGATGCAAGGCCTTGCCTCAAGGAAGAGAGAAATTATCTTGGAAATGTGTGTGTGTGTGTGTGTGTGTGTGTGTGTGTGTGTATGCAAAATGGATCATAGACCTATAAAACTTTTACAAGATGCACCAGGGTGTAGCTCAGTGGTACAGTGCCTGCCTTGCAAGCACAATTTGATTCCCAGTACCAAAAAAATAGAAGAGGAAAATATAAAATCTTTGTGGGGCTGGGGAGATAGCTCGGTGGTCTAAACGCCTGCCTGGCAAGCCCAAGGACCCGGTTCAATCCCTGGTACCGCATGCCCTGTCGCCCCTGAACCACAGCTACACCCTGCCAGGCACCAAAAGCAGGCCTCATGGCACACGCTTGTACTCCCAGCGCTGGGGAGGCTAAAGCCAGCAGAATCTCTACAAGTCTGAGCTGTGTAGCAAGACCCTGTACCAACCAACCAGCCAACCAACCAACCAAACAAACAAATAAAAGATTTTTTAAAAAAATTTTTTAAATCTTTGTGATTTTGGGTGACATTTCTTAGACTCACCAGGGCATGGTGACCCAAGCCTGTAATCCTCATACTTTGGGAGACCGAGGCAGTGAAGCCTAGGCTGGGCAATGAGTTTGCCTCAAAATAAAAACTTTGAAAAGGGTGATGTAGCTCAATATGAAGGGCCTGCATTAAATCCCAAGTATCAAAAAAGAAAAGGAAAACCAGCAACTTCTTACTTCCTGGTATATACACTCTGAAGAATGAAACAGGGACTCAAAATAGTGTTTAGGGGGCTGGGGAGATGGCTCAGTAGAATAAGCATTTGCCCGGCAAACACAAGGATCTGAGTTCAATCCCCAGTACATCCCCAGTTCTGCCAAATAAATAAATAAATAAATAAATAAATAAATAAATAAAATAGTGTTTAGTCACCCATGTTCCGAGAGGCATTATTCATTCATAATAGCTGAAAAGCCAAAGTAACCCAAGTGCTAACAGATACTACGAATAAACAAAAGGTAGTGCATCCCTACAGTGGAATATAATTTTGTCTTAGGGAATTTTCACACATGCTACAACATGGAATAATATTTTTTGTTTTTTTTTTAAGTTTTTTTGTTTTGTTTTGTTTTGTTTTTGCGGGACCAGGGATTGAACTCAGACCCTTGTGTTTGTGAGGCAAGCGTTTATTCTACTGAGACATCTCCCCAGCCCAACATGGATTAATCTTGAAGACATTATGCTAATCGAAACAAGTCAGTCGTAAAGCGACAAATATGGTATGGCGCCTCCTGTGAGATTTCTAGGGGATTCAAAATCCTAGGCATGGAAAGTTGAGTGGCAGTGGCCAAGGGATGGGGACCAAGGAAATGGGAACAGACTGCCTGACGGGTACAGAGTTTCAGTTTGAGAAAATGAGAAAGTTCTGGAGACAGATGGCTGCAAGACTGCACAATGATGAGGACCTCTTACTGCTACCCAACTGCTTAGCGCGGCAAACTGTACGCTGCGCATTATCTTATCGCACAGACCACTGGTCTTGTTTTTGCAAAAGCTCTGCCTATGTTGCCCAGCAATAGTCTCCCCTGGGGTACTCTGCTAGCTTAAGGGGAGGTTATGCACTGGGTGCTCCACTTTGCAGTCTCTCTCCAGTACATGTCTTTCCAGCGTTCCCCAGGGGCTTTCTGTTCCCCTAGTTAGCACAAATATCTTTTTCAAGAGGATCGTGAAATTACGAGAACCTGGATCGCATAATTGGACTCACATTTCTGGTTTCCCAAATGCCATTCTGAGCTCTGGAAGTTCCTCTTCCCTTGGGCACCCTCCATCATCCCACTACTTCTGGCCTCTGCACTAACGAATTCCAAAGCAATCAGTGTGAGATTTGCCAGCCGAAGCAGCCATCTGGGCTGGGCTGAATCTGGCCCTTACCCTACTTGCTGGCCACGTGATCGTACTGTTTACTACTGTCTCAACAGCCACAGGCCAAGCTGATTATTATACAAACCCTGATCACCAAACCACACATTCAGGCTGGCAGCTCTTTCGGGAAGAAAAAACATTCCTGTTTCAGCCGCCAGACTAACCTTTAGTTCACCTGCGCTGCTGCAAACAAATCCAGGTCTGCTGGAAAGCTACATTAAGTTTAACCAGTACTTTAAAATTTTTATTTTATTAATATGAGTTTGCAAAATATAATGTTTACATTCACCTTAAACATTATTTTTAAAGGAGCCTATCTTTTTGGCAACACTGACACAATAACAAGATGAAAAACAGACACTTGAACGCCAGGAATGGCCTCTGAGGCTCTGTGTCTTGCCAATTTACACGGCTTGGGTTACAGCTTCTACCTAACTCACCAAGTTGGGTTAAATAAAGCCTTGGGTGGAGACAGCTTTTTATTACTGCTCCTCCTTCTCTATATAGAATCTGATTCTGGATCCCAATTTAGGGGAAAAAATTACAGGGAGGAACCAAAAGATTGTGACCTTCTTTGCTCATTAATTCTACAGGAGTTAAGATTTCCAAAAGGCTGATTCTCCACACTAAGAGCTGGCACTCCCTAGCAACTTCTCAAAATAGAAATGTGAAGTGCTTTCTGTTTTCTTCCATGTCACTGCCCAGCCCAGCCTCTCCTGGTCTTATCTTCTAAAGTTCAAACCGAGGGGCATGGTGGGGTGAACGGGCAAGGAGGCTCAGGGCCAGTGATGATGACGATGATGCTTCACTGTTTGTTTGGAGGCTGGTTCTCAGGCGGATGTTTTGGGCTTAACTTGCCCCGTACACACACTGCTCCAGGGTATCCGCCAGTTTCTGTGTGTAGCTCTGACATAGAACATTAAGCCAGGAAGCTAGAGCTCACAGGGCAGCTGAAACAAGACTACAGAGTGTTTGTGGCTTTTATCTAAACATGCTATCTCCTTCCCCGGGGTAACGAGAGTCTGTGCTCTGACCTTTACAATGATTTCAAACTTCTTTTTAAACTACTTTTTGTGTATGTGTGGAACTAAGGATTGAAGATGCTAGGCATAGGCTCTACCACTGAGCAACATCCCCAGCTCTTTTTACTTTTATCCCCTCACTAGTGGAGTTTGAATCCAGGACTTTCCCATTGAGCTACATCTCCAGGCCTTTTCTATTTTTTTTCTTTTGAGATTGGGTCTCATTAAGTTGCAAAGTTGCCCAAGCTGGGCTCAAACTTTTGATCCTCTTTTCTACCACAACTCCCTTCATGGGAGACAGAGACTACTGTAGTAGCTGGTATCAGAAGTGTGCGCCACCGTGCCCAGCTAAAATTACCTCTCTGACATACTAAGATCAGTCCCTCTTTTGCAAAGATTATCATACAAAGACGCCACAATGGTATTGCTTCTTCCTTCAGTGGGCCTCAATTCTTCTCTGCCTCCTCACTGTCCTTGTACCCAACGCATTCCCCTTCATGACATATCTAATGACGCTATGACTGCCAAAAATCAAGGACAAGGCTCACCTTGCTCCTGACTGCAAAACCGCTGAAATAATTTATGTCCCAAAATAGATAGACCGCAATAAATAGTAATGTAAGAAATCAGCCGGGTGTGGTGCTGAATGCTTGTAATCCCAGCTGCTCAGGTGACTGAGGCAGGAAAATCACAAGTCCTGGGGCCAGTCTAGGCAACCCAGTGACAGCCTGTCTAAAAAGAAAAATTTACAAGATCTGGGAAAGTGGCTCAATGATAGAGCTTGCCTAGTGTGTATGAGGCTCAGCAAGAAAGGAAGGATGTACGGAAAGAAGGAAGGAGCTGATGAGCCCGCTGGTAATTATTTAAAATTAATAAATTTTTAGGGCTGGCCAATAGCTCAGAGATTAAAGCCCACTTAGGCAGACGCAGGGGCTAGGTGTTCGATCCACAAGGCTGCCGTGCAGGCCCCGCCCCAGGGGAGCGCTGAGACATTGAATGTGACTGGGTGTGGTGGCACATGCCTGTAATTCCAGCATTTGGGAGGCTGTAAACAGGTGGATCACTACGAGTTCAATCTATACAGTAAGACACTGTAGACCCTGTCCTAAATATAAACAAATAAATAAATGAAACTAATAATTTTTTTTAAATGCATTAAAGGGCCGGCTTGATAGCTCAGCAGACTAAAGCGCCTGCTTAGGCAAAGCACAGAAGCCTGGGGTCCAACCCCCGGTGTGCTGTGCTGGCCCTGCCCATAAATACAGGAAAAGAATGCATTAAGAACCTAGCGAGGGGACCGGGGAGATGGCTCACTGGAATAAGGCTTCCGTGGCAAGTGCAACAGCCTGAGTTCAATCCCCGGCTCCACCAAAAAAAAAGAAAACAAACAAAGAACCTAGTGAGTTGGGGCCAGGGAGATAGCTCAGTAGAAGAGGCGCTTGCCTGGTAAGCACAAGGTCCTGAGTTCAATCCCCAGTACCTCAAAAAAAAACCAAACCAAACCAAAACAAAACCCAACCTAGTGAGTGCTGGACATTTTGCTAGGGATCCTAACCCCATACCCATACCATCCCTACACCATCCCACACCATCTCACTTAATGCTCACAACCACCCTAGAGGTTGGATTTAATTTCCTCAGATACCGCAAAGGAAATAGCTGACTTTGGGGGGATGAACAATATCAAGGATCTGGAGTTTAGGATTCTAGTCTGGCTCCAGCTGGCTCTGCCCCCTTTGACTCTCCAGCTAGTTTTCCCCTCTGTAAAATGAAAACACTAAGGCTCCCTCCTCCCCCTTCTCCTCTACCTGTCCATTCCTGGGAAATTCTTTCATCTCTCAAAAATTCCCCTAAGAAGTAACTTAACTACATCGCTAAAACTGGGCATCTTGGATAAAACAGGAAAATAGCATTCCATCCAATGCACAAAACCACATACCAAAAGAAACCAATTCAGTATTCAATTCTCTTTTTCCTCAAGAACCATAGAAAATCTCAGAGGAAAAGGGTGGGAGGGAGGAGCACATGACCAAATCAATGAACACGCCAAAGTGCTGCCCACAGTTACACACCAATGAAAGGAAAGCAGAGCTTTGCTCGTGTCTGGCACTGGGCACCGGGCTGGGGCTCACTCATACCGTGGCATGCAAGCTATGGTGAGAACCAAGTTTTAGGGCGTGCAGTGGAAGAACCAAGGAGTTTGGCACAGAAATCGCCTTATAGGATGGCACATACAGTGATCCTATGGCGGCTTCTGAGTTTTAAAACGACCCTGAAAAGGGAAGAAGAAGAAGAAAAGAAAAAAAAGGAAAAGAAAAACACACTTCAAATTGCAACGTCGCAGCTCAGAGCTGTGACAAGCGTCTCACAACTCCATCAACAGGGAACAGGGGACAGGGGACAGGGCACGCAGCTAGCACGAGGGCCCTAGGCAGAGGAGCGCATGTGGGGTAAACAAGGGTCTTTACTTGGGTTGAGGATAGGGACTCATAGTACCAGTGTCGAAGCACCAGCGTCCTCTGGCACCAGGCCCATCCACGGCAAAGCTAGGGCAGGAATTCTTTGTTGGAAAGACGCTTTATTTCTCATGAGGGACCCCAAAAGAAGACAAGCCAGATCGGAGGGCGGCAACCTGAGGATGTAGGGGACGAAAACGGCCAAGAACTAGAGGCAAGAGCCAGTCCCCTACCTCCCTTAAAGAAGGGGTCCGTTCAGACCATTCTCTGGGTGCAGACCCCAGACTCCCCTCGCCTTGGCCAAGAATCCAGAGGAAGCGGAAGGAGGAGCCCCACGCCCCTGTGCTCCCCATTTTTGAGCCACGGGCCGTCTCGTACTTACCCGGGCCCAGGGGCGCGTCTTCCTCGCCCGCATCCTCTCCCCTCCCAGCCCCCTCCTCACTTCACGTCCCCTCCTCCAGGGGTTGCAGCCATGCCCGTTACTGGCAAAATTCTAAGGGGAAATTGCCTCTCTTTCCGGACAACAAGACTCCGCCCAACAAGCTAAAGTTCCGGGTGCTGATTGGTAGAAATTCGAGACAAGCGGAGATCCCAGACTTCTTATTGGTTAGGTGGAGCGCGAGGTTGTAGCTTTAAACCGCCTCGCTGGGAGCCTGGCGGAATTATGTGCGGTGATAACCCGCAGGAGCTCGCCAAGCTACTATTCCTTATGCGTAAGGTTCAGGCGCTTTCATCACCAAGGCCCTGACTACAAGCAAGGGCAGGGCTGTCGGTGGGATTTATTTATTTTTTTAATTTTTTTGCATTATCTTAAAAAGATATCCTGTCTTCTTTTCTTTCTTTCTTTCTTTTAAAATAAGCCCTTTGCGGAGCACCGGCTTTCTCGTACTTTTTTGTAAGCTATTTCCTAGTTGCTGGAAACAAATGCCCAGAGACAGTTTGCTCAGAGACCTTAGGAGTCTCTCGGGACTAATATTGCATTCAAACCAAAGCTGCACAATCTATGGTAATGCTGCAGTTTCCTCCTCGGCCTGGCCGAAATCTAAAGGGAAAAAGAGGTTTAAAAAATTTGTTTCTAGATAATTAGAGAAATCGCCTGGGAAACCTCTCTTGGGAAAACAAAGCAAGCCTGTGTTCCTATTTGCTTCTGTTTTCCCAGAGATCTAAGTCTGGAAAACTTGTTTCTAAAAAATAAAATCTGTTTATAAAATCAGAAAAGGGCCATGGCTGGCCCTGGGAAGTAAGAGCCCCTTCCCTCTATTAATGAATTTAATCATGCAATTGAAATTCCTCTTTTCTGACCAGAAAGAAGCCATGTTATTATCTACTCATGTGTTTGATTCAACTGTTGCCTCAAATGCCCAGCGAATCGTGGTCACTTTCCTGCATGTAAGTCTTCAGTTTATCTCTGCAAACAGATCTAAATCACAAAGCTTTTTATAAATTGTCTCAGACACACATTTCCAGGCATAACTCCCCACAAGCCAAACTACTGCAGCTACATAGATAACCACCATCCACTAAATGCGTCAGAACTTCTCACCTCTGCTCCTTTGCCCAAGAGTTCTCTGTGCTTTGAAAGTTCTTAATAAACAATACAGCAAATAAATAAATAAAAATTAAAAAATAAATAAATTTTAAAAATGAACAATACAGCAAACCTTCAAATATGTGCCTATTAAAAGGTGCTCCCTGAATTGTACCTTTACAAACACCTTCCCCAATTTACTGACTCTCTGAGTATAGTGTTGTGTGTGGATTACAGGCACGCGCCACCACAGCCAGTCGGGGGCAGGGCCGGCACAATATGCCTAGGGTCCCTTTACAAAGGTATGCTTTCAACAGCATCATGGTTTGTGGTGTGATGATGAGGTTTGAAGACCTCAGGTGCCCTGAAGGCAGCTAGTTTTGAAAGATTCCACAGAGCTTTTCTTAGTCCTTGTACCCATTAAATGTTTGTTGGACTGAGTGAGTTAATTGCCTACCTAGTCTTAGGTCTTTCCACTTCATGCCACAAGAGCTGCCTAGTACCTTTGGGAAATTAACAAATATTGAACAGTTGTTCTGTCCCTCTCCTGCTCTGCGTTGTAGCTAGACTCCTCTAGCCTCTCTTGATTTTCTGCTTCTTTGTGCTTTATATCATTCAAGGAACTTGAACTGAGGGGTTGGGGAGATAGCTCAGTAGAATAAGCGCTTCCCTGACAAGCGCAAGGGCCTGAGTTCAATCCCCCGTTCTGCCAAAAAAAGAAAAAAAAAAAAAAAGAAACTTGAACTGAATGCCAGCCCTTTCTGAAACTGCAATGTTCTTATAACCCCTAACCTGTCTGTCCTCTCATCCAGAACTCTGCTGAAAGACTAAATCAAAATGGGGCTGGGGAGCTGGCTCAGTGGAATAAGCGCTTCCCTGGCAAGCACAAGGGCCTGAGTTCAATCCCCAGTTCCACCAAAAAAAAAAAAAAAATACTGAGGCCAAGGCGCAGGGACTGGGTTCAACCCCGGGCATACTGTGCCAGCCCTGCCCCCAACTGGCCACAGTGGTGTGTGCCTGTAATCTCAGTGCTTGGGAAGCTGAAAACAGGAGGATCACTATGAGTCTGATCTGTGTAGTGAGATCCTGTAGACCCTGTACTAAATGCATAAAAAAAAAAACAAAAAAAAAAAACACTGAGGGCAGAATGCATCCATGCACCCACCCTAAATGCACCATGACTAGCTTTTTAGAAGTTCTGAAGGCCTTCTTACCATGTCTGGTTGGTTGTCTGTAACCCCAACAGTTATTTGGGGTTTCATTTTTCTGAAGCTCCCTATTTCTCACTTCTCAGATGATCCTGATGAGATCAATGCCTTTTAATAGTGATTCTCATTTACTTTATAAAAGTGTCTTTCCCTCTCAACATTTCTGCAAAAAAGAGCTCTCTACCTCTCCCCATACATGCTCAGTCCCTTTCCCTTTAGCGTGGCATGTGATTTCCCATCTTGAAATCACAGCTGTTGTGTCCCCTGGCCTCAAATGCCCTCTTGACTTCCTTGCTTCCCTATTGGCTCCTTATTAACTTTTTTTTTTTTTTTTTTTTTTTGCCACGAGATGTGTTTTATTTTCATTTAACATACAAATAATTTTCTATAATATCCCAGGGCAAACCGGAGAATTTGGCAGTCCGATTGGGGGGGTCCCC